AAAAAGTTATACATCGCAATATGCTGTCAAAAGTAATATTTCAAGGGCCAGCCAGATAGCTCAGCGGACTAAAGTGCCTGCTGAGGCAGAGTGTAGCAGCCAAGGAGCACTAAGAGGGAGATTGAGACTGGGTATAGTGGCATGTGTCTGTAATCCCAGCGCTTGGGAGGCTGAAACCACGAAAATATGAGTCTGACCTATGTAGTGAGACCCTGTACTAAATACATTTTTAAAAAGTAATATTTCACTTAAGTCATAACTGCATAACAGTCAAATTTTAATCAAAACATATCTTTTATTTCTCCCAGTAATGTATAGCTTTTCCTACATTCTTCTAAACCTAAATTACTTTCTTTTGACCAAGGATAAGAAAAAAAGAATTTTAAAATGTCAATATAATTTAGGGAAAAGACAAAGAAAAATCAATGTGAACAGAAAAGCTAGAAAAGTTCAAAAAGGAAAAACTAAAAAAGAAAGTAGTAACAAATACTAATTGAACAAGCTCTGAGGAACAGTTTATTGTACTTAATTCTACCAAGTATCTTTGATTTTGTTTTTTCTTTTTTCATTCTGTTGTTTACTATTTGTGATAAAAATATGGGTTTTCCTTACCATGCATGGCATGTTTGGGTCCTGAGAAGAGTTTGACGAGAGCCCAGAAAGCATCTTCCTCGTTCATGTACATGAGCAGCAGAGCTGTAATCTGGCTCATTCCCTGACAGTACCCAACCTCCTGAAGAGCAAAGGAGAACAAAGCGAGTTTAAAATTAAGTAACATGTAAATGCACAGAAAAGGCTGACCTACTAAGTGTCAGAAAGTATCTAGATACATCATGCAGTGAGCAATTCTATAGATAATGATCAGTCTTTATAATAATCTGCCATATATTATAAAGAAAACTGCTCAAGATAAAAAGAATAGAAAAGTCTAATTTACACTTTTTTTTACTGTCTTCTCTTTGACATTGTTCTATTTTCTTTAAAGACTGCTAATACTTGTTTCATTTTATGTGCAATTCTTACCTCATCACTCCTGTTTTGTGCAGACGCTGGCACTGCCCCCTCCACCCAGTTTGCTTCTCCCTTATATTTCTAGACCCTTACTGACACTTCTTGGGTTGTCTATCTAGCTTATGTCCCTTCTCTTCACAGTTCCTGCTTATGATGTGGCCTTAAGAGACTGGTGTTTGTGTCACAGGAACCACATCTGATGGACCAGATGAGGATGCCTGGTCTCAAGGGAACAAGCAATTTGTTGCACTGACTGATCATACACTCCATTCTCTAGGAAATTTGAACAAAGCAAGAGAGACTACAATCACTGTAAGTTCCCACCTGAACAGCATGGTCACAGTGGGTCTGGGAGTGAAATTTAGCCATGAGTAACTAGCAAGTAGGAAAAGGAAACAATCTAGAGAGGTAAACACTGGGATGAATAGTCCACAGAGGTAATCAGATTCTTTATGGCTTCTGACTGGGAGGGAGAAAAAGTGTAGCTTTTTCATGGAGTGCTTATCACTTTCCAGCTCCAACTCCCATGAGGCTGTTACTGCTTAATTTCTGAGAAATCCTCTTAGTAAATCCCTTTTTCACTTCCTCTGGTGGGAGGAAAATTTCTGCTCTTGTAACATAAAGGTCGTAGATACAAGAGAATTTATTTCAAAGGTTTAAAGACTGTCTTCCTTGGAACCTAGTCAACAAATATTTATTTAATATCCATGTTAAGTCTTTCCCTAAATTATTTTCTCCCAAGAATAGTAAACCCTTTAGAGCAGTATGTCCATTACCAAAGACTTTGTACCTCTACTAGACCTCACCCAACAGACAAAATGTGACAAACTCCTAGAAATAATGAGTTATGAAGAGTCAAGTTAAAATCAATCTAGCTGCCAACTTCCTGTCCTGCCAGGCTCATTCCTAGTCTTTCTTACTTAAAATAAAAACGAAACTCTATCCACAAAACGTGGCATAAAAAAGTATGGTTCACTGGCATATTGTGGTCATATCTAAGCTTTCTGACTTAGAAATCAGCTGTTCTAGGACCCCAGGATTACCACAAAGCTAAGAGTCATTTGGTCCTGAGATGAAGAACTGAACCTAGAGGGACATTGTTAGGGAAGGAGTGCCAAAGGGACCTCAATGTAGCTCACAGATAAATATATATTAAAAAAAAAAAAAAAGAATATAGCTCACAGGACTGGACAGGAATGCTCCAACTTACCGTATTATAAATAGAATATGCAGCAAGAACATGGAATAAAGATTGTTGCCTAGAGAAGTAAAAATTTATATTAAATACAATTTAGTTATTTCACATACTTTTAAAATTAAACACAAAAAAGCTGATGGAAAGCCAACGGATAATCCAGATAAAATGACTACTGTAATAAAGAAATTTCTCCCAAGCTGCAATAAACTGTCTAAATTTGAGACAGTTAACTGTCTCAAATTTGAGACTAAACAGAATGTGTAACAAAAACATAGATGGCTTCACAATTCCTTAAATTTCTGTCTTCTTTCATTGAACTATCTTACTCTGAAATAATCCCAGTAGAACTAGCTACTGCTTAATAGGACAGTGGCACAGCATTTTGAAGACTAAGTTACAGTCCCAGCTAAGACCAACACCAGGCAGGCCAAGGGCAATGTTCTCCAAGAGAAGCTGCTTACATTCTGTATTACCCTCAAAGAAAAGGTGCTTTTTTTTTTTTTTTTTTTTCCCCACAAGCAGGGTTCAGGAATATAAGACTCAGGGGAGTGGCTCCATTCCCTTTTTTTTTTTTTTTTTAATTTTTTTTTTTTTATTTATTATTTGAGAGAGAGAGAGAGAGAGTGTGTGTGGTGTGTGTGTGGCCAGCTCAGCCCACCAGGGGGCGGGGCCGGCTGGCATGTGGTGCTGGGGGATTGAACCGCAGTCCCTGATGCCTTGCCAAGCTTGTTCTAAGTAGGTGCTTTAGACCACTGAGCCATCTCTCCAGCCCCTCCATTCACTCTTAATGCTGAGGATTCACTAACAAGTTTCTGCTCCCTGTGCCTACAACCTCTGCATCTTGTGATTTGGAGATCTCAGTCCCACGAGAGGAGTGTTTTCATTTGGAGGTTTAACAACAGTGGAACTGGAGGCTGAAACTGCGACCTAAGCACTCTGGATTTATACTACTTTAGGTTCTTTATGCCTCGATAGGCAAAGGCAGATTGATCCTGATTTCTAAGGGAATGAGATTCCACCATCCAAAGGACAAAAGAAGGAATACAGGAATACAGGACAATGCTGAGGCACCTGTTAGTATTACCAACCCTTGCTATTAATGTCAGTCAAAATCTACGCAACCAAATCCAGGCAGGATTGTAATGATCCACAGTGTTTAAGAATGAATCAAGTCTGAGTCACCTAGCCTAGGCACTTGCTGAAGACAAAGGTAAACACAATGGGGATTAGAAGAAGGTAGTCACAAATATCATTTATAACTATATAGCCACTTGTAGAAAAGACTAAAATTGTGGTAAGTACTTCTTCCTTTATATGGTATGAATATTTTGTGTATGATATATATATATATATATATATAATTTCCTTTCTCTTATCATGTATAAGATACATTAATAATAGTTAACAGGATATAAAAACAGAAATGTGACCATCACTCAAGGACTTAACATCTACTTTTTTTTTGGTGGTACCAGAGAGTGAACTCAGGACCTACTGAGCTATCTCCCCAGCCCTTAACATCTACTTGTGGGGAAAGAGTTTGCATGTTTTCAGTTTTAACTACAATAGTTGTATCACATTAGAAGTATGATTTAGTGGTTTAAAGAGATGCATATGAGTACTAAGTTGACAAGAGTAACTTATGATGGTTAGGTCCGGGTCAATTTGACTAGGCTACCATCCCCCATTAAACAATGATTCAAGAGGTTGAAGGGAATGGGAAAAAAGAATCAAGATATATCATGTACAGGTACAAGTTCTCTGTGATGAATGTGTTCATTATGTAGATCTCAGGTATACTGATAAAATAAACATGGTCTTAAAACAAAACAAAAACAATGATTCAGGTGTTGCTGTGAAGGTATTTTGCAGATGTAGTGAAAATATATCATCTGTTCAATTTAAGAAAGGGCGATTACCCTGGGTAATCTGGATAGGACTGATTGAATTTATATTTCCTCAATAAGAAGTTCCACCCAAGAACAAAAGCTTTGGTTTATGCCTGAGAATTCTGGCTTATCCTTTCAGTGATCTACTGTGGATCTTGGATTGTCTTTCACCTCCACAACCTAGTAAGCCAGTCTCGTGGTGTACACCTATTAATGGCTTCCACTTCACTGGCTAAACCTGACTGATCACAGGTCAGCAAAACTGCGTTTCATTTACAAACATCACAGCAAGGACATGCTCATGTGTAGTATCAATGTTCCAATCATATACTCATTTCATTAATTCCTCATTTCATTAATTTTCATTTCTCTTATTTCTTTTCCATATCTTTGAATGAAAGAATCCATTATACTTTCATTAAATTGTGAGATCATAAAATGCTTTGTTACTAATTTTATAGCACCCTATCTCAAAGCTTTAAAACTTTAAGTTAAATTAGATGTTAGGTGTCACACACACAAGATTCAAATTATCTGCAAAAGCCTACACATGTAGGATGTAAATCAAAAGGATCAAGATGCATTATGGACCAATACACACAGTGAATATATTCACAATGTTTAGCAAATATATTAATAAAAATGTCTTAATGTCAGTCTATATAAGATATTCTTTTTTTTTTTTTTTTTGTGGAACCGAGGATTGAACTCAGGCCCTTGCACTTGCCAGGGAAGTGCTTATTCCACTGAGTCATCTCCCCGGCCCTTATATAAGATATTCTAAACACTCACATTTTAACCTAGTACAAACTTTATAACTGCTCTTTACAGTGCATAATATTAAACTTTACTTACTTAACACCGTATCTGTCTCTAAACATAATATGGTCCCTAAATGTACGGTTGACATCAAGGTCTATTTGTCTGATATCAGGTGAACAGCCTCGTGCTCTGTGTTTTAATTTCTAAAAGAAAAGAAGAAAGCACATTTTTATGAGATCACTTTTGACAATCTATGATCAAATATAAACTGTTTCACATTTATAATGTTTCGTTGTTGCTTAGAAAAATCATTCCCATGGTTTAAAAAAATCAAAGCCACCCTGGGCATGGTGGCACATGCCTGCAACCCCAGCACTAGGGAGGCTGAGGCAAAAGGATCCCTGTGAGTTCAAGGCCAGCTTGGGCTACATAGGGAGCTCAAGGCCAGCCTGACTACATAGCAAAAACCTGTCTCCAACTGCCCCTGCTATCAAACCATCAAAGCCACATGAAAAGGTACATAAGGAAAACCTTCCTTCTCAGCATCCTCAACCTTTTCCTCTTTTTTCACTTTTTTCCCCCATCATGTTAATAGTAAGATTTTAATTTAGAACAGGAAATTTTTAGGGGTTTGAATTACTAATATTGTGTGAAAGCTCTGTGACTTACTAAGATTTCTTAAGTCTTTACAGCACAGTATTTTTGTTTTCCTTGGAGCTAATTGTTGCCTTCCTTCTTGATCTGCATCACTGTCTATGTGTTGGTAACTAAATCGATCCTAAATTCACTGTAAACTATAACTCTCCTCTGATGTGCTGATAGAATACACATGCCTGTAAGTTCACCTTCATGGAGACCACTCTCCCTCTGCAGCCTGTCCTGCTGCTGCCAGGCCTCTGGGCTGCTGCCCTAATCAGTCCTGCCATGTGCTGGGCTGTTCTTGGCTCTGCTCTTGGTGTGGCTCCCTTTGCTCCTGGGTCTCACCTCTCCACACTCTCGGGTTACTGTTTAGTCACGAGTGGCTCCCTTAAAAGGGTGTGTACAAGATACAGCTTCTAAAAGCTCTAATGTCTAAAGATTCTACGGTCTCAATAAACTGTTCAGTTACTTTAGAAGTGTAAGTTACAAAATATCTCTGCTCAAAAGGCTGCCTTTTGGCCTTTCATGTTGTCATGTGAATTCTTGTGTCATTATAAAAAGTCTTTTCCTCCTCTCTAAAAGTTTACAGGTGATGTTTTCTCCATTTCTGAAGCTTCACATTTCTCTACTTGATTTAGATCTATTTTTATCAACAGATGTGGTAACTGGAAGACCCTTTAAATTGTGAAAACGCATATACCTCTCAGTTCTGAAAAACTGCCTTTAATAATTCATCTATCAGTTTCTTCCTTCTCCCCTCCCTCTATTCCCATTTTTGTCTTTACAGAACTCTGATTATTACAATGTGAAACCTCCTACACTGTTATAAATTTTTCTTGTATTTTCTCTATTTCCCATTTTGGAAATTAATTCAATCATTACTTTCAATTAAGTTTTTCATTTTTCTTAAGTTTTCCATTTCTGTTATTCTCAAATGTTCCTTTTTATAGCACCCTACACTTGTTTTATGGATATAATATCTACTTTATTTCTCTGATGATAGTGACAATCTTAAGTTTTCTTCTTGCTTTGTAGTCTGTTTCTTACAAGTTGTTTTTGTTTGTTTGTTTTGTTGTTTTTATTTGTCCTTCATGGTACTCCTCTCCTCAAATGCAAAACTTTAGTGTCTGTTTTTATTTACCAGTAAGACACCTGTGGCACACACCTGTGATCCTAGTATTCAGGAAGCTGAGGCAGAAGGATCATTGTGAATTCAATGCCAATCTGCACTACAAAGTGAGACCTTGTCTCAAAAACAAAAGCAAAATCCAACAATAGCAGCAACAATTAAAAAAACACAGCAAGACACTAAAAAGTCTGTGAGCCTGGGAGAGGGGTCAGGAACTCTTACAACATGGTCTCCCTTTACAATGTGGACCTGCTAGGCAGTTTCAGGGGGTTTCCTGGAAATCACTATTTTCTGGAAGGGAGCATATTCCCCAGGAGGTCGTTCCCATCTCCTACCAGAATGATCAGCATAAAGGTGCCAATGTTCTAGGCGGTAGATTGAGAAAAAAGGCCAGGTTGTCTAAACTCTGCGACAGCCTACTGCTGTGCTTTCACTACAGCAGCCCACCTCAGCGATGGCTGTGCTGGCCCAGTCCAAAAGCTCTCCTTGCCCTCTCACAAGAATGAACCTCCAGTCTTAGGCCAGAGCTAGAAAGACCTGGGGGCTCTGACTGCTTCTCAAATGGACTTTCAGCTACATCTGTGTTTAGCTTCACTTAGTTTCACTTTCACTTCTGAGACACCTACCACTGGCAATTACTGAGCTTCTGAAGATTTGAAATAACAATCATGTTGCCTTTCCAATTTCCCACGGCCAGTCTAGAATTTAGCTTTCTTGGATTTAAGTACACTAAATGCCTATCTGCACTCTGGTTTCAAGAAGTGTTTGAAACAAAAAGTGCCCTAAAATAAAACATAGGGGAAGAAGAGAAGACTCAAATGGATCTACAGTATCAGCTTCTCTTAAAGACAAGAAAATACATCACACAAAAGGTGTCATTAAGGGCTGGCCAGATAACTCAGCAGATTAAAGCTCCTACTTAGGCAGGAGTGGTGGGGTGGGGGTGGGTTTCCCCAGGCCTGCAGAGTAGGCCCTGCCCCCAGGGTGTGCTGAGAGCAATAGAGACTGGGTGTGGTGGCACTCGCCTATAATCCCAGTGCTTGGGAGGCTGAAAAACAGGAGGATCACTACAAGTCCGATCTATGTAGTGAGACCCTGTATACCCTGTACTAAATACATAAAAAAAAAAAAAAAAAAAAAGATGTCATGACAGAAGCAAAGCCCTGTGCCCAATTAAGTAGTAAAAAATAATAGGGTTATTTTTGCCCTAAAATGTTTCCAAGGTAATACACAGAATATAGTTCATTAACATTTCTGACCTCGAAGGAGGTAAACAGTTCATGCAGTTATCTCTTGAGACTACAAGGGTTGTAATCCACAATAATCACAATAATATAAGAATAAGCACTTTATAAAAGAAAGGAGATGCAGGCATGGTAGTATATACCTGTAATCCCAGAGTTTTTGGAGACTAAAAGGGGAAGATCACAAGTTAGAGCTCAATCTGGGCAGCTTAGCAAGATCTTGTCAATCAATCAATCAATCAATCAATCAATCAACAAACTGGATTTAAAGAACCCATAATGGAAGATATTTAGATAAAAATTTACAAATCTCTGTGGTTTTGGCCTACTAGATTACTGAATCAAGCTATGGCTATATAGGCTTGTGCTCACTGTGGATGGACTCACCTCTATCTATAAGGTCTACTGCTAGTTACAAAAGGAATAAATACAAATGAGACACAAATAAAAGTAAAAAGCAGTAGATCAAGAGCAATGACTCAGAAGCCAGAATGCCTGGATTTCAAATTCTATGTCTGCACTTGGGGATAAAAGGTTACTTAACCTCAATAATAATAATAGTAAAGCTTGCCTCTTGGTATTATTGCTATAATTAAATAAAGTAGTTCACATATCTATACATCAAAGTATCTGAATAAGGACAAATCTCCTCAAAGTAAAGTATTTTAAGAAATATAGCAATATGAACCTTCAAACTAAAGTTAGTCAGATGTAAAGGTGTTCAAAATATGCCTTGAAAATTCATCTTCCTTTTTTCCTTGTGGAAACAACATCTCAGACACCTACTCCATGATGACTTTCTGAACCATAAAGATGATTTCTTTTTCTCCTTTCAATTTAGCCTAGTTTTTTGTCTTGTTACTTCTGGAGTATCTGCCACATAGCAAGGAGTAATTATATACTTCTATACTACTATCTCCTATGACAGAGAAGAACAGCTTCTTGATCACACCTATTCATTTCTGTGTGTAGTGTAGCAGTTCCTCCAGTCAAAGCTGCAATCTAAGAAGGGCAAACACCATTGGACAAACTTGAAGGACTAAATGTTCACAATATGTCAGGCAGGCTTCAAATAATTCCACTCATCTGAGAAAAATCTTGGTAGATTAAGAGAAGGTAGTTTTACTCCTACTGAAGTTCCAGCCAGTTCAGAGAGGCTGTGTGGCAACTACTATAATACGACTTTCACAGAGTATTACAGTTTATGTTTGGATGTCCCCTCAAAGCCTAAAGTGGTCAAAAGGGGCAGGCTTTTTGGAGGCCACTGACTAGAGTTTGTGACTGGTTTATTGTCTATTGCTGGGATTAATGATGTGAGTGCTACACCCACCCTAGGGTGGTAACCTGCATACAATACAAGGGAGGACAAGAGGCTTGCTTCTCCCCTCTGTGCTCCTGTTGCATTTGCCGTCTTCTGCTGCCCTGAAATGCTGCCCCTCTGCAATGCCACCTGGCTGTAAAGCCAGGTGATTATAGACTGAAACCTCCACAAACTGCGAGCTAAATAAACCTTTCCTTCCTTAATTTTGGGTGTCAACTATTTTCTCTTAGCAACAAGAGAAAAGTAACCAAAATACAGAGCTAGTAAGAAAGAGTGGTCAGGAAAAGAAGACTCAGTGAAGTAGGGAATTTCTAATACCCAATGAAAGTGCTTCCGACTGTTGAAAATGATAAGCTTGGGAGTACCAATGGTGAAGTTGTTTTTGTTGGGGCCATCAGTTTTCACTAAATGATTCTCTTACATTAACCAATCACTAGAAATTTTTATTTCCATGTAGAAAAACACATACAGTACAAATGAAAGCTATAGTTCACTACCTTTCATCTTGATGAAATTTCTCCTCAGTATACATGAAAAGAAAATACCAAAAGAACATCAAAGTACCTTTTGTAGTTGGTTTAAACTAGAAATACTTTTTAATCTATTCTAACTTACTTTCTTTACCTTTATTTTCTAAGGAAACTATATCAAAATCTGCAGATCTATGATTCTTAGAAAAAAAAAATTACCTTTTCAAAGTTAATACAAAACAGTTATAGAATAGGTAGACTGTGATGAAAAGGAGGTAAATTTAATGCTAAGAAAAGCATTACTGATCACACAAAAGTTTAACATTTGCTGATAAATAAACCTTATCATAACTTTTTTTTTTTTTTTGTGGTGCCAGGGATTGAACTCAGGACCTTATGCTTGCCAGGTAAGAACTTATTCTACTGAGCTATTTCCCCAGCCCTGGTAACATAATAATCTTGAAAACAAATTCTTTGTTATAACCCTGGAAGAAAAATAACATATATTGACAGATGTAAGATAAAGTGAATTGTTATTTCCCCATAAACTCTAAAAAGGACATTACAAATCTCTTTATTGATACTACAATCAGGTTTTAGTCAATTTTCCCTTCAAATATCCTCCAATATTGATGAGTTATTTTAAATACTGTGATTAATCATTTATGTATTTCAAAAACACAACACTCACTGATTAATATAGACATTATCACAACATTTTTACTTAAGTACTTACTTCAAATTTGAGACTACAAATCAATAAAACAAATACATCTCTAAAACTCAATCCAATATACTTTTGATATAATTTCAAGTGATAATTTTAAGCCTTACATCACCTTAAAAGCTAAAATAAATTATTTTAATTTTTAACTTCAAATAGTTTAGCTACTCACACTATAAAGGTCTCGTGTTTCTTCTTTCATTTTAGGAATCTCAAGAAGGAGAGCCCAGACTTCACCTCGCAGTTGGAGGGGAATTCCTTTGTAAATTCTTCTGTGAAACTTATCAAAAGAAAAAGAAAAAAAAAAAAAAGAAACTGGAGGTTATGAATTTACAAAAGCTTAAGATAGTCCCTTCAACTGATCTGATTAATAATTGTTGGTCTTTTATTTTCAGGGTATCCATGACAATTAATCAATACATTTTTAGTTATTGATACAAATCGATTCGTTATCTTTCTCCTATCCTAAAAGGGGAGATATAGACAGACACAGAAAGAACAAACAAAATGTCAAGAATGTACAAGTCATACTAATTCCATACAGAAGTGTCCCTGGAGAGGCAAGAAAACATAGTCAATGCCCTTTGCTACGTTGTGAATATCTTATTTACACAACCTCTTCCCTTCCTGTCACACACCCAGAAGGTGCTCATAAAGAGTCCTGTTGGGAGTACAGACATAGCTATCTAACTCCTAATCTCTTCTCTACCACTCTTTAGGGCCTTCTTAGGTCAAGCTCCCCCCATCTACCTCAGATCTCAGTTCCACTGGCAATCTGCACTTCATGTTCTAATTTTTTTTCTCTCTCTTGCTCCCTCTCCTCATCCCTCTCTCATTTTTCTCCTCTCCTTTCTTCCCCTTTAATTCAGAGAAAACTATGTCCTTTTCCTAAAGGATCAAACAAAAATAATGATAAATCATTCAGAAAAGATAAAGACTTTTGAATAAAACTGAAACATTAATGAAACTAAGCATAAATCATTAGTATCAACTTCTTGAGTCCTTGAAAAATATATTGCTATTGCTCTAAGAAACTTAAGGTTTGATGTATTTCCCCATCTTCTCTATAATTTTTTCTTCAAGTATAATTACAATACTCAGCCTAAATCGTTTGATAATAACAATAAGCTTGTCTTCTGGATGGTTAACAACCTAAGTTTGCAGACCAAAATTAGAGAAAAAGGAGGGCTACAAGAAAAGCCAACATTTTGGGCCTAACCTTCTAAGGTTAGTTAAGACTCAGGACATATGAGAACTTGTACTGTAACGTCATGTACCTCGGTAGTGTCCCAAATTTTCTGATCAAGAAGATTATGGGGCCAAAGAGGAAAGAGATCGATGACATAGAGTGTGCCTAAGGAGAGTCACATGGGGAAAAGACACTCTCAGACTTTCACAGCGAGCACATTGGCCAAGCAATGGCCGTGACTCTCCACATGGATGCACTGACAAAGGTTCTACAATCTGAGGTACAGGATCTCAGGATAAATCCTGAGGGCATTTCAATGACCTTCTCAGACCAAAAAGCTACAACTCTTGTTGCATAGGTCCTGCTTTACCTTGGTCTTAACCATCCAGTAGAAAAGTATGAAGACAAAATATAGGAAATAAAGCCATGCTGTTAAGTTGAGCTGTGGGGGACTCAGGTCAATAATTTCTGACATTGCCAGTTAAACAGAAGACCCAATGCTATTATGGGCTACTGGACTCTTAGAATATTTTGCTGAGTTTATACACCTATAATATTCAATAATGGAACTTAGGAAAAATGGGGTATGCCTATGAATGTCCATTTTGTATCTGTGTATTCAAAGTGGTTGGGATAGATATATAGTTACATTCTGTTAATGAATAGAATGATTTGTTCTAATGGTGTTTGTAAATAGGATCACAAGTCTGCATCTTGTACAGCAATTAACCACTAAGAAGAATATATGCAGTGTAATATTTGTTGAAACTGTACTTCCGATTTGATTTGAAACTGTCTCATTGCTGTTTATCAATAAAACTTTGAAAAAAAATAAAAAATTTAAAAAAATAATAATAATTACAATACTCATTATCTTTCAAAATTTAAAACTTGATGCCCAAATAAGGAAATGATTAATAAATTATGGAAGATGGATTAAGGTAAAAATCAATATATAATTACTTAAAGATCAAGATACTGGTTGAATAGCCCTATTTGAAATGCTGCCTGTCTGGCAAGCCCAAGATCCTGAGTTCAATCTCCAGTTAAAAAAAAAGAAAAGAAAGAAAGAAAAGAAAGACAAAGACAAAGACATGCCTGGGAGCAAAAGTGTTTTGGATTCTGCACATATCTGAGAGACAGGAGAGAGAGAGAGGAGAGAGGGGAAAGAAGTAAAGAGAGAAAAAGGGAGGGAGAAAGAGAGGAAGGAGGGAGAGGGAGAGGGAAGGAGGAAGGAGGGAGAGGGAAGGAGGAAGGAGGGAGAGGGATGGAGGAAGGAGGGAGAGGAGGGAGAGGGGAGAGGGGAGAGGGAAGAGGGGAGAGGGGAGATCGATCCTGGAGATGAGACCCAAGGCTAAACATAAAATTCTTTGTTTTATATATACTTCGTCTTAAGTTATGATGTAGTTTTAAGAATATTGTGGTTCAAAGTGAGTGATATGAACTTTATTGTGAAACCATGACTACTATGAAGTTGATTCAGCTCAGTAATTACACATAAGCTAGGCATGGTGGCACTTACTGTAGGCCCCGTACTCAGGGACTGAAGTTGGAGACTGCTGTCAGTTTGAGGACAGCCTGGGCTACATAAGTGAGTTTAAGGACAGCCTGAACTACACAGTAAGCCTGTCTCTCAAAAAAAAAAAAAAAAAAAAAAAAGAAAAAAGAAAAAAAAAATTACACATGATCTGTTTTGTTCTTTTGGTATCAACATGGTAAGCCTCAGATTTGAAATTTCCAAGGAGAGTACCTAGATTATGGAAATTTTAACCTGTGCAATAGCTCTAACTGGAGAAACATATACAGAATGGCTGTGTTGTCTATAAATCAGACTTGCAACATTCTTTAGATATCCAACGCTTACTACCATTAACTGCAAACTGAGTGTAGTAAAAACAAGTGAATTTAAGATTTACTTTTCCCAAAGAAGTCTGCAATCTATATCTACTTCAAAATTATAATAAACTATGTTTTTTAAAGCAGTATTAACTTCAAGTTATCATATAAATTTCTAGAGTAAAAATACTATACAGTAAATATCTGGTATAAATGTCAAGAAATGTGGAAACTACTCCAAATATGAAAAGTACAAAAGAAAAAACATTTTGAGTACTGGAAACTGAAGCCAGGACCTTCACTCTGATTTATTTTCCCATCTGTTTTTATTTTGCAATAGGGTCTTGCTAAGTCACTAAGGGCAAATCAGTCCTACCCCAATGCTGGGATCACAAGTGTGCATAATAATGCCCAGTGAAAATTCTAATAATAAACAATATAATGGGTAAAGAGATTGATATCCATGAACCTCAAACTGATTTTTTTTAAATTTATGTGTTCAGTAAGGGTCTCACTATACAGCTCGGACTCATAGTGATCCTCCTGTTTTCAGCCTCCCCAGCACTGGGATTACAGGTGTGCAGCACTACACCTGGACTTGGTGGCTGGCTCAGCATGCCCAGAGCGGAGCCAGCGTGGCATGTGGTGCTAGGGATTGAACCCCGGTCCATGCTCTTGCCTAAGCAGGCACTTAGTTTGCTGAACTCTCTCCAGTCCAATATTTTCCTTAAATAAAATGTATTTTATTTGTACTGCTTTTATCTAATTCTGCACTCAGTATCATATACAAATTACTGTTTATAACCTATCTAAAAATCTTGTTTTAGGAAAACAAATCCATCAAGTTGTCATGATTAAATAAAGAAGTAAAAAAAAATTTTTCTTTTCAAAAAAAAGGTCCCCATTCTATCAAAGGGATAAAATGTTAAAATGATATAGAAAACACTGGAAAAGAAATACTGACCTATTGCCAGTATCACCCACAGTAACAATTACTGCAATCTTTACTGAGCATTTACTATGGGCAGGAAACTATTTTTAAGACATTTGGTGGTATTTAATTCTGTTAAGCATTTTGTTATTCTTTTACCAACAATTCAATTTATAGGTGAGGAAAGTGAAAACTAAAGAGGTTAATTAACACCTAGAGTCACATATAAGATGTTACCAATTAACAAAAAATTACTGGTTTAATAATACATTAAAAAATAAGGATTAACCTTCTATGACTATAGTACAATGTTTGCCCAATTGCACTTTCTAAAACACATAGAATAGTGAAAGGAAAATATTAAGAAAATCCAAGACCAGAAAATATTGAAGCAATAATAATTATACCAAAACATAAAAAAATGTTAAAGGGATGTCTCTAGAATTCAAGCTGTAGGACATAATGGAACAAAACATATTCAAAGAATTAAGTCATAAGATTCTAAAATAAGAGTCTTAAGTTATGCTTTTTGGTTTTCAAATACAGTCAGCCTTTCATATCTATGGATTCCGTATCTGAACTCAACCAACTGCCAGTTGAAACGATTTAAAAACAAGCTGTGTCTTCCCCTGTCAATTCTTTAAACAATACAGTATAAACAGTATAAACAGTAAAATTAATCACACAGAATTTAACTGTACTAGCTATTACTCGTAGTCTAGAAATAAAAAGTATATGGGAAGATATTTAGAGGTGATATGTAAACACTATGCCATCTTATATAGGGACTTGAGCATCAGCAGATTGCGGAATCCTGGGGGGTCCTGGAACCAATCTACCAGGCACTTATAGACAATTATACTCAGACAATATATGACTGACTTACTATGGTTATTTTTCCCTTATAAGCATCCAACTATCATACAAGTTTTTAAAAAATTATTAAAAGAGGTAAAGATCATATAAAAGTGTGACAGTTATAGTAAGTTTGCTTATTTCTTCAAACAGCAGTCCCAGTTTCCATTTGTCATCAATTAACAAAGCAGTACTTTCTGCTGTCTACGATGATGTTGGAAATGTAGGCACAGCAGAGTGTTCCACTGTAGATGCAAGAGAACCAAGGTACACAGAGGTACCTGGCTTTGGTCAGAGTTCCATCTTCTTCCTCCAAGTTCAGGGTCTCTCTGCCAAACTATATTGCCTCTTAGAAGTTACAGCTTCATTAAAGTAGCAGACTTTATCAGTAGAAAGCAAGAGCTAGCCAGGCGTAGCTGCACACACCTACAATCCCAGAACTTGGGAGGCTGAAGCAGGTGGACTACTG